AAATTTTTTTTGGGATTGGTTACAGCTATTTTTTGAAAATTGTAATTGCTTTTATTATCAGCGCCATTTTTCTTGTTATTATTATCGTAGCTATTCACGCTGTTGTATTTTTACCCCTATATCTCTGCTTTACAGATAACTTTACAAAACAAAGATAGCAATGTTCATTCATCGTACAACTATGTGATTACAGTTGATCGACCTGTATTACTAATCAAATCGACCGCAATTGATAAGGTTAATTGATTTTTTTAGTGGCATATTCAGAGGCTGTAAGGGCATTGTAAATTTTTATCTTTTTTTTTTTTTTGAAACTTTTTGCTTATTAGTTTTTTCAGGCTATACTTCTATGGTTGAATTATAAAAACACTTACAACTACTGGCACGGGGAAAGGGACAAACTTTTGAAAAAGAAACAGAAAATTTCTTTTTCGGCATCCTCTTTTGGGACTTCACCGGTCTCATTTCATAATGCAACTTCAGTAGTTTAATGAGGCTGTTAACTTGTAACGGAAATTGAGAAAACCATAAAATGTTTTGCGTTCTTTGTTCTCAAAATCTGCTCTATTTTTGAAATTTTATTTTCTAATGAAGTCGTAGAAGTTTTGTCAAAGTTTTTAAAGACCTCCGAACCAGAAATGAACGTCAGCCTCTCCTTGAAAGTAACTAATGGAGCGTATGTTTGTATGCCTCTCTACGGTCCAGAAGTTAGCGCTAATATGGCAGCACTTATTATATCATTGAAAAGCACAGACATTACAGTTTGCGTGCGGAAAGAACTGGCCTGTCAAGCGGCTTTCCATAACTTTAAAGTCCAATTTATGGACAATTTTGACGAGCAGGTTATTTCATACATAAAATAGCTGTGTGGAATACTTAATTTTTTTTTTTACTTTTCTTTTTAGGCTTTACACGACGAATGGCTGGAAAAAGACCCCAACGATTCCTCTCGATCAAATTACTTTTTTTTCCCAGAAGGTACTTGCCAGTTTATTTCACAGGCCTGTGATGCCACAAAGAGTAATGAACGAGCGAAGTGGACTCTGTCGGTAAAGTGGCAAATGCAGGGGATGACGATTGACCTTGATCATGTAGGCTTGCTTATTCTTCATTTTTTAATAGTTAGGTTTAAACTCTTGCTTTTAAAATATTTTCTGGCTCAACTAATTTTTTGTGAACTTTTTCAATTTTTTAGCGCATTGGAAAACTAACGTCTTTGTTAATAAGGACTTTCTCGTCTATGGCAAGTGGAGAAAATGACGATTTCTGGGATGGCTCAGACAGAGAATCATTTTCATTTACCTCTGTCGAGGAAAGTGATCGGGATGACGATATTGATGAAATAGGCGAACTCAAAAACTTAGTGCAGATCGATGATAGAATCGAATGGATAGAGCGGAAGGTCAGTTACTTCACATTTTTCAATACTTTAACTAAATATATTTAATTTTTTTCTCAAAATCAGTCTTTTACAGATGCATGAACAGTCCGTCCTTGTCCTAGATTTGATGCAATGTCATGCTAGCGAAGCTACAATAGAAAAGGAACGTAGGAAGTTAAGGAGGTTTGAAATGGCGAGGTCTAAAATATTTCGTAAATCTGTCCTTAAGAAGCTCAAACGAAGCCACGCAAAAGAAAGGTCCCCGGTATTGAATCAGGTTTTTTCATTAGTCATTTTATTTTTCCACGTATGAGTAATATTTTATACTTTCTCCGCCCAGTGTGACCTCAAACAGTTTGAACATCTTAGCTAGTTTCAGCGGCAATATATGGTGTTTTTTAATTTCGTCTTTGTTTGTGGATTACTGGAAACTTTTCCTTAAGAAACGCTGTTTGCTAATTGGTATTTGCTGGTTTATTATGAAATTATAATGATGCAGGTCGAATTAGTTCCCAAGGCGACTAAAACACATACAAGGACTTCAAGCTCAGGGTCAGCTGCTTTGTTAGCAGTGGATTTATCGCAGAACCAAAGCGCTTCTCGCTTATCTGATGTTGGTCAGGAGACATCAGTCGATATGGATATTGATGTGCAGGTTAATATTTATCGTTGCTGTTAAGCTTTATTTTTAGTTTCAAGCTGTTTACTGCTGTAATTAATTAAATCCTTCAGATAACCGTCGCCTCGGGGTCATGTACATTGCGAGCGGTAGCGAAACAAGAGGATCATAATGCTTTAATAAAACGTCCGTCTGCCAGAGATTTGAAATCAAAGTCAGCATTGAATGCTGAAAATTTGTTGTTAACAGACTTGTCTATTCCCAGGTCAGTTATGTCTTAAATGTAAGGCTTTGATTTCCCTTATTACTTTGCTTGCTTTGGATTGTTTTTAAAAGTCAATCGTTCTCAACTAATTCAGTAACATCTATATATCATCGTTGCTTTTTTCAGTGTTGATGTAAAGGCGTACTATACATCACTAGATTCTAACTTCTCAAGTGTTATTCCTCGTCAGTACTATCCAAAACTGTCACACAAGCAAATGAAACAAAGGTTTTATTTAGTCTTTATTACTTTCTTTACTTCACGGTTTATCGTGTTGGTTATTTTTGCTTTCTTGCATTTAGCTCACGGAGGAAACCAGCTTTCTACCTGGCCTTGGAAGTGTCGAGTATGCCACAAGAATCACTGATTACCCCAAATCTTGCTGACTATCTTGAACAGTTGCTTGAACCGCTGCCGCAGAATAGCCTTTTTGATTCTTCCACAAATGTTCGTTTTGTTTCTTAGCAGTGATTTATTCATTTAAGTATTTTAACAAATGTTTTGACTTCTTTAAAAGCTTTTAGCTGCATACGTCGCCAAGGGATGGTGAAGGCGTGTCAGAAGTTCCAATCGTGGAAATGGATACATCAGCTTTACCTATTGATGTATTGTTTTATTTAGTTGTTCAGTCTTCTACAATACGATTTGAAGGACAACAAGTTGTAAGTTCATTATTCGTCACCGGCACAATAAAAAGTTGTTGATTGTTTTTTTGGAACTTTCTTACTGTTGGTTCACTGTTTATATGGAAAATTTTGATTTTTCAGTTAGAAGCTTACCGTTTTTTTACCTTGATATTCTCTAGTCTACAGAAGGTGATTTCACATATCCTGAACGTGCAAATGAATCGTGCAAATTCAATTTTTTTAGCGCAGCGCAGCTGCTGATTGTTTGTTAAAATTACCAACCTTGACTCTTGTGGCATCGACTAAACCAATGGCTGAGTTTTCTGAAATTCCAGACCAGGAGATAGCTGGTAGTGGCATACATTTGTGTGCCACTTTGAACGCATTTTCTTTGAATGTTTATAGCCCTCACCAAGTAAGTGTTTCTTCTTCACGACTTTTCTACATCTTATTTTGCATTCCTTCTTTGTTTAGCAGTCTACGGCTCATGATGCACTCTCGCTTACATTAGATAGACTATGCTTATTAATGTCAAGAAGCAAGAATGCGAAAAATGAACAGGATAATAAAGTTCAGGTGGGCAAGACTTTGGTTAGAACAATTTTTCCGCTTTGTCATTTTGTACTTGATTTCTGTTTTTGTTCTTAATAAATCCATTACAGTTTGTTCTAACAGCAAATATTGGTTCCGCTAATTTTAATTATGATATGCGTCGGCTAGCAGAATTGATTTCCTTCCCAAAACCTTGGTATCGAAAAAACATTATTCGTCGACTTTTTATTGGTGAACACTCATTCAAAGACGTTGAAATAAAGTGTTCGCCGTCTAGTGAAAGTGGCATAAACGCTACGTCTGTTTCAAGCACCGCCCCGCCTCCATCTCCTGTGCCTATGTCGTAGGTTTTCTTTTACATTTTATAACAGAGTGGTGCTGAAGTAATAGTTTTGCTTACGTCCTGTACGTTTATTCGTTAGCGCCTGTTCACTCGTGGTGCATTTCGGGTCCTTAAAGAAACAGTTTCTACTGCGTTAGTGTTTAATAGTAAATATAATATTTTACTACAAGATTTCCTTTTCCAGGCCATCATCCTCTGGCGTATTAGTTAATAAGAAGGAATGGAAAGCGAGCGTGCTGCTTGCTATTGAATGGAAGGAATTAAATATTAATGCACAGATGGCTAACACAATGGGAAGCACCAAATTAGTTGTTAGGGATGGTGTTTTACAAGGTTTCTGTGAGGTAACTGTTCCAGATCTTTTAAATTATTATTTTCCAACTCTAGTTTGTTTTATCCATTATGCAGTTATTTATAAAATTTAAATATGCTTCTGTTCTGTTTTTCGTTTTACTTAATTAATTACAGTTAAACTCAAGAACAGAGAAGAATATTTCTATTAACTTTCGACTAAAATCTTCATCACTGCTTTCGCATGGTGGCGCAATATCGGGACAGATTACTATTTTGGATTTAGATCTCAACTGTGCTCACAAAAGTTCCTGCATGGTACGTCTAGTTTATTTTTCTAGTTATAGATTTACCTCTTATTCTCGAACTTCTTGAAAATTCACTTTATTTATACTTTTTTTGCAACTATTCAAGAATTATAGAAAGCCCCTGAGAATCACGTTAAAATGAAGTTCAACGAAATTCAATGTCGGGTGGAGTGGATGAGTAGGACAATTTTCATTGGTCGCTGTCTCAGTCCATCTATAAATTTTGAAGATCAGTGGATTGTTGCTTCAGAAGATAGTGACTCTGTTTGTTACTTATTTCTTTCAGTTTTTTTTTTTCTTTTGGTTTGGTTTGGTTTATTTTTTTATCTGTTGCTGCGCAAAATTTTTGTTGGCTTCCTGTCCAGCATTTGTTCGTTTTAACGTTTTCCAGTTGCTTGAAGTGAATTCTTTGAATGAAAGTTTTCAGGTCAATCGAGTGACTGTTTCTGTCAATTTGAATTGTTCCTGGAACGATTTGCAAATGATAATAACCAAAGTGACTGTGAATGATTTCAAGAAGATTTCCGACAAACTTCAATCGTTCTTTAAGGTCTTGTTTGGGTCTCCTTCGTCGGTCGTAATTAACTTCATTTTCATATTTTTTCTGCCCTTATACTTTTGTTTTTTTCTTAAAGGAGCAGTTGTCAAACAGTCGCAGGGTTTGGGGTATAAAAGATGATCCAGTTGTGGAGGAGTCAAGCGATGAAACGCAAGATTCAAAAAGTTTGATAGCTCGTCGCCGTTACCGGCATTGGCCGGATGTTTTAGACGCCCTAACTGAAATTCAGTCGAAATATAAAATTGTTCCAATGCCAGTAGTTCAAGAGGGAATAACTTCTGCAGGAGGAAGTATTGAGCTGAATGCGTGTCGAATTTCATTAGCCTGTATGAATGGCGAAATGAACGCTACAAGGTTTTTGCAACAAGATTCGCTACGTTTTTTCTTTCCGAATATGAGGCGTTATTCGTTCCTCAGTCGCCGTGACGAGACACTTTTAACACATAGTTTTCTAGCTGGGCGTTGTTTCACATGAGAGAGGTGTCTGTTATTTTTGTCCCTGAGGCGCAATATTCTTTTATATCTGGAAATAATGACATTGGTGTTGTTGTTTCTCAAAGAGTGACATGGAAATTGGGTGAGCTTTCAACACTCCAGCGTGAGGAGGCTCCGGAATCTTTGGCCGTTGTTTGTCGTGTGCAGGTGATTTCTCTTTTTTTTTTCTTTTTTTTGCTTCTCTTTTCAAGTCTATTCAGTTTATAAATCTTTTCTCGTTTGCTGTTGTTGATTTAAAAGTTTTTTGAAGCAAGGACGCGGAAGTATGATGCGGCAGACTAGTTCTATAGGCGTTTGTCTGGATCATATGATTGGCGATGCATTAAGACAATTAAATCTTTATCCGTACGATACCATGAAGCCAGCGGCCCATCACGTAGTTCTTCCTCTTTTCCAGTAATATTTTACTCTGATTTTTTTGTCTTTCTTTGATCGTTATTGTTCATTTATACAACCCACCACCTTTAATGGTAATATTAAGGTTCCCCGCATTCGATGCAGTTTTTACTTCATTGCAAGAACAAGCTACAGATATTGATGAATCAAAAGCAATTGCTCCTGAGGTGAAATTTGCTTGCGAGAGCTGTTTTTGGCACTGAATCAACCTAAAGACTCCACTTGCTCATTGTGAAATCAGTAATGCCGTTGCGTCAAGCACAACTATTTACTCTCTGCTCATCTATTTTTTTTCTAGGTGCGTAATTCACTTATTTGTGAGTTTCATGACACTGTTAACGTGCAAACTGATTTCAACGCTCAAGTCAGCTTTCTTCCTGAACTTTTGAAGACTTACATGAAGGTCGACGTAAGTTTTTTTTCTAATGAAAGTTTCTAATTTTTTTAGGAGAGGCGAGTAATATATGTAAATTTTTTTCAGAGTAGGACTGCAGAAGAAAAAGCTGCTGATGTAACTCATGATTTTCGTCATTATTTTTGTGAAATATGGCGTGTCGATCCAAAAATTCGTTTTATTGATCGATTCAAATGGAACCCGCCTGTCATTGATGAAATCCTTAGGAAGCTTCAGGTAACCTTTTGCTGGTTTTAATGGGGTTTTCAAGAAAGTGCTTTACAGATTTCTTTCTTTATTTTTGGGACTTGTGCAGTTTAGTTTTTACTAGGATTTTGGAAGCAATTACTTCTCGCTGAACTCAGTTCTTCTTCAGATTTTTGACCATAGAATGACAATTCCAAAGGCGCTCCAGCGGGGTTTGTTAGACCCATGTGATGCTCTACTTGCTCAAATCCACCTCGCAGTAATGGCTTTGGCGAAAAAAACTTCTTCTAAAGTTAAAGTTTTATGAATTAAGGGTAATTTTCTATCTACCTATGGGAATAGTTCAATTTTTCCAGTCACACTGCGAAATTTTACCCAGGATTTTCCTGGCAGCATAGGTAATGCTGGTAAACATTAATATTACGCTGCATTTACTGACCTGAGATTTCTAAGTTTCTGTTTACAGAAAACACCAATATCGCTTTTTTTTTCTTTTGTGTTATATCCTTTCTCATTTAAGACACATTGCCTATTTTCTTTGAAAAATATCTTTAGCTCTTTCATTTTGTTAAGCTTCATTTACTAGGCCTGCTTCTGAACTTCAAATCAAAAGATTTTATAAGTTAAATCTTTTTTATTGTCTTATGAGAACAATAATTTCAAAGTTGTACGGACCCTCTCTTACCATTTTTCACTGTTCAGTGAAATTCTAAAATGAAAAGCTCTCATCTCCGCTTGATTGCAGCAGTTCGTCAACCGTTAGTTCCTCTTCAATCTCTTCGTCGTCTTCTAAAAATAGTGTATCAAAATTGATTTTTCAGCATTATCTTAACGTGTTGGTTTTTAGTTAGTTCTGTTCTTTACTATTGCGGGTCTTAATTATTTGTATATGTGAATATTTGCTTTTACTTTTTTTGACACTAGGTGGCTTTTCAAATCCGAAGAACTGTTAGAAGTTTACGTTATGTGGTCAATTACTACTACGTAATAAGCGTTAATTAAACAGTTCCAAAGTCTTAATGTATCGTGGGGGAGCCAAAGCTATTTTTTGGTGTGAAACTGAATCAGCAGGTCTGATCTTGTAGATTGTGTCATTATAATTAGAACGAGTATGGTCCCAATTATGTGTATATATGGTGATAAAGACTCTGATTTATGATTGTGGGTTATCAGAGCCATCAACTCAAAACCCCGAACATAAACTATCGTTTGAATCTCTTTCATAAGTCTCTCCGTTTGGAATAAACATGTCGCTTTCAGCTTCTCGTTTATTCAAAAAGTACACCACCATCAAAGGTTGCTATTGAATGATTAATTTGCATCTAAAAATATGCTGCTCTTGTTTACTCTGTCTTGGTTAAAGGCATGAAATAAAGGCTAGAGATTGAGAGGTAATGGCTAAGGGGGCTGTAGTATATTGTTAAGAATTCAAAACTTGAGTTTGGGTGCTTTTTTTGTCGTATTGAACCAGAGGTGAAGTGACAATGCATGTCGTTAATGTAATTGTCGGAACTGGTTGTTGTCACCTCGGTATAGTGGCTTGTACAGATCGATTTTGAGTGGAGTGTTTTGCTTTAGACAGACTGGCGTTGGGCCTCCTGAACCACAAATTTGATTTTTTTGGTGGAGCGATGGTGACTGTTGTTATGGTGATATGCTGTCGTCATGTTTGTGGGGTCCTCGTGTCACTTTTTCTTGCAGTCGTCTGGTCGAAGTTAACTGGTCACTCCTTTCTTTGTAGAGTCGCTGGAGAAGGCAGATTTGGCCACATTCTTGCGACTTGAAAAATTTGCGTTTGCTAAGAAGTACTTTTTTTAGCATTTAGTTGACTTTAAAAGTGTTGCGGGAAATTTTCCATATTGTACTTCTAAGGCGGATATTCCTTCGTTCTCGACAGCGAACTTCTAAGAAGTTCAAAGTTATTCATTCTCTTTGAGACGAGCTTATGAGTTTCATTTTAAGTTTCGCAAGACAATTGTTTCCACTCGTAATTTTAATTAAATACGTATTCTGATTTCAGTGCTACTCAACTTTGAAATGGGAAAGGAAATGCTAAATCTGAACTTGAAATCAAGGTCAAATTCCAATAGGCTGGTTATAGGGTTGATTTCAATAACAATTTGTACTTTAACATTAGCGGGCGGAAGAAGCTGGGACGTCCGTAAGTTATTAAATCAAAGACAGTAAACCGGTGCTCCTGTGGTATCCTAGGAAGAGTAGGGTAGGCCTGATGTATGGATCTTATTCCATTTATTTGCTACTGTCGAATGTTAGTTGGAATACAGTAAAAAGTTGCTAGGCAAGATCAGAAAGAGCACGGAGCAAGTATGAAGTTTAAATAAACCTTTTCAAATGTTCATCGCATTTTCTCAACGGAAATAATCGAAAATTGGGCGAACGGTAGGAATAGCAACATAACTGAAGACTTCTGTTATGGTATTATGAAATCATACAATTTTTTGAGCCGTTGTCCTAAGCCCCTTGTAATTTTGTTTGGCGTATCTTCTTGCCAGACCGAAAACTGTCACGGGAGGAGAGGATGATGACAACGGTCAGAAATTTTTTTGTGCGAATGCTTCGTTAACTTAGCGCAATCTCAAGTGGTTATGGTCGTCATGAAAATTTTTAGTGTTTTTAGGCTTACTGGTCAGAAGGGTCAGTTGTAGAAAATTCTGTTGACTCAAACGGTCGTTTTTTTCTTGCTTTTTGAGTTTTCAGCTTTCAGTTGTTGGCGAGCTGCTGGACCAGGCAAGGGGATTGTTGTGAATCAGACTATCGGAAGGGAATCTGCTGAGTAGCTTTTTTGAGTTAAAAACCTACTAACTGCTTCAAATGCTTACCTGGTGTTTTCTTTGAGTCATCGTCATCCAGGAGGTCGTTTAAATGTTTAGTAAAAGGATTTGTTTGAAGGGGATTTCTGCTGTTTACAGAACTGTTTGGAGCTGTTAGACGAGGCAGTGAATTTATAGAGGGTAAAATTTCGTTTGCAGATTTTATTTCAGTTCCTTCGCCAGCAGAACTAGCGCTCGAGGTTGAACTAAAAACGGGTAGAATAGGAAATAGAAGGAAAG